TGCTATATCCCTGCCATGGAGCCTGATGGATCAAAGCAGGCAAGAGCAGACTCTGCTGCTAGATAGCTGGGCTTTGAACAATTGCCACCGATTTTGAAAGAGGTGGAGGGGGCTTCCTTTCTGTCTTGTTTCTCTTCAGTGAACTGGCTGCCTGGTAAATACAGGAGCACGGCCCCCTCATCTTGGTGTCTCTCAGGGTCTCTTCCACAGTGATGACTCCTTTGCTCCCTCTTTTTAAGAGGTGGTTTTCCCTTGGTTCATACAGGAGCATGAAGGAGGGTCTGGAATTGTATTTCCACTATTTTCTTGCTACTTAACAAGGGCATGGTGACATACATCCCTGTTCCTAACTTCACTAGCTAGTTTCATGGTTCAATTTTACATGCATTGAATGAGTTTAGTGAGAGACAGTATTAAAGGTAGCAGCAAGGGGCCAAACGTAGATGTAAGCTGGTAAAATTTCCCCAAAGGCTTTTCTAGGAATAGATGCAGGGAAGCAGCACACAACAGATCTGCTTTCCAGTTCATGTTTCTCCCTCAAGGTCCTTCCCCAGTGACAAGGCAACTGGATGCAGTTGCAAGCACGGCCTCTGGTACATCCGTTCAACAGTTCAGTCACAGAGTGGGGGATGATGAAGCTGTTCCTACCACTTCTTCTGCCTCGGCATAAAAGGAGGGCAAATCCCAAGCCTCTTCCCCAATGTGTTCATTGAAGTCACAATGTCTGCTCAGATTACAGTTGCATATCTGACCCAAAGCTGAGAAGGATCCATAGCTCACAAGACCAGAGCAGAAGGAAAACAGCACCTTCAAAATCAAAGGTCGGTGCTTAAAGACCCTGCTTGTTACCCTATTCGTGCTAAAGGCCTCCCTTGACTGTTGCAATGTGGCATCCCTTCAGTTAGCTCATGGAAAGATTAATCATCAAGTATTCAAAGGGGAAGGTTTTAATGAAGAAGCTTGAACTGCTTTAAGAATTGCTAAAAAAAAAAAATTAAAATAAATTACAGAACTATTACAAGTAACAGATGATTCCAGAGTGTTTCCAGGGCTGAGTTTGCTCCCATGCTGACTTTAGCTGCACTCTTGTGGTTTATCTTCAGAACAGTTTCCCTGAGAAAATAATTGCAGCGCCTTTACTCTAGGGCCATGCATGTCCCAGATGAACTAGGCCTCTTTTAGCACATCAGCATTCATTGTCCGGGTGAATTAAGTGCTGTGCTAAATGATGGAAACTCTGCCATGCCAGCCCACATCAACGGTTGCCTCAGCCCTCCCCACCCAGTCTCTAATTTTTTTCTGAACAATAAGATGTGAATCTGGAGACAGAAATGTTCAATGGAGCACAGAACGGGGCGGGGGAAGCAACCATGGAAAAAACTCTGTGTGTCTGCATGCACGCGTGTGTCCAAAGCCGTGTTAATGACATGGCTCCCTCTGAGGAGGTAGGACACGATCGGGGAGGGCAACTGGTAGAAGCAGCTACTTCTGGTGGCTGTCACTGCCAGCAGGAGCGTGCCACCAGCGTGGCAACAGCCGGCTCCTGGGGCAGCTCTGGGAGCAGACACACAGGGGTCGGTGCTTGGGTATGGGGGAGCAGGAGAAGGAATTGCCCCCACAGCTGAGCTGCCCATCTCCTCGGCATGGAGGGGGAGTGGAGTGAGGAGCATTTCTAGCGATCGGCTCCACCAAGCAGGGCCAGGCTTCCCACCGCAGCAGTCCCATGCACAGGACAAAGGGCTGTAGGTCTGCAGCAGCAACCAAGAAGAGCTGGCTGGGTCCCTGGCTGGAAAGGGAGGAGGGAAGCTTGCTGGGGAGGCCTTGCCCTACTGCCAAGCTCTTCTGCCGGCCTCTAACTCTGTGTTGTTCTGAGCAAGGATTTAAATCCTCAAGTGTCAGGGCATAAACCAAAGAGGAAACTCTGCATCGCATCTGCAGCCTGATTCGTAGCTGCCCATTGCTCAGGTTAGCACTAACAGCCACAGAGGGCATCAGTGCGGCTCTCAGTTCAGAGGAGCATCTGAGCCTGCGTAGGTGAATCTCCACGTTATCTTCTTGAGCTGGGTCATCACCCAGTTGAGTTATTCTCCTTTTGCCCCCCCTGCATTGACAGTAGGGCAGAAACAAGCCTTCCATCTTGTTCTCTTTCTGTCATCTTTTCCATGCTACCTCCTGGTAGCCTGTCTCTAACTTCTAAGTGGTCTTCCATCCCCGGATCAGCCCAGCCCTGCTGAGCTTTGGAAAGCAGGCAAAACTCAGCGTGCTCACCTCGATGCAACTTACATGAGCTCAACTCCATGGCTTTATGCTTACAAAAATTCTGCTTTTGTGGCTGATGCAGTTTTTCTCTCTGATCAGCAAAATTTGATGTGTGTTGAGGGCAAGTTCAGCTGGGGTGAAGAGCATATGTTGCTCTCCTAAAAAGTAATTTGTTTTTTTGGGGGGAGATATAAATAGCTGACTTTGTTGTGCTGGCCATGCACACTGGTGTTGGCACGAGGTGTATAACATCTAACTGTGAAGTGGTGATGACTAGGGTGTTCTCATTTCTTCATAAAACTTTGCATGCTATGCCTGATATGGATTTTTATTCTGTCACTTGATCACTACAAAGAGACATCCATCAAACGCAATGACTGCCATATGAGCCAATCAACAGGGAAGGTCCTTCTCTCCAACCCGCACAGTCTGTTACAGAGTCTATCTGCTGGAGGGGAAAATAGATAGGAATTACAAAGCTAGCTGATGCCTCCAGGCAGAGAGCATCAAGGGCTAGTGAACTTCTTTACGCCCTCCCTCCCAAATCACTTATCAGTCTGTGCCATGCCTATGCCATGCCATTTGAGACTGATTAGTGAGGGATGGAAGTTCGTTTCTGTTGATGTATGGAAAGAGAGGGGCAGGCAAAATACCTGAAGTGCAGAGTGAGGTTTCATGCATATGTTACAGATTTTATTTCCTCTGCTTCCCTTCTTAGTTAATCTCAGAGCAAGTTTTCAAGCCAAAAAGTGACAGAAAGCAGTCCTGTACTTTATGAGGAGTACTTAGTAGGTGGATGCATCCCAGTTCTCAGTCTAGTTCTTGTCCACAGCTCTCTGTACACACAAAGCGGCTCATGCTGCTGGGCACCTTGCCCTAAAGCCCAAATGTTACTCCTTAACCTAGATATAATGGTCTCCGTGCTCTGGGAGTTCATGCTGGTCAGCATATTCCATGTGCCTTCCAGTCTCTGCTTTGAGAAGAGTGGAGGTTTGGCAGGGGATACGAGCACAGTGATGAGAGGGATCGCAGAGCCAGTGTGAAGGGCAGATCGTGGAGCAGGCTGAGAAGGAAAATGTGACCCGGCACCAAAATTAAGGCCAATAAGCACTTCAGAGTTTCTTTCTGAATCTTTAGGGGACAGCAGATCCCATCCAAGAAGACAGACTCCAAAGCACGCTGTGTAGAGAGAGAGGACAGTCCCTCCTGGGCACTACATGGTCAACTGACAAGGGAAGCAGAAGCACAAGGCCATAGTGTATCACCCAGTAGCTCCTAGATAAACTCAGGCATCAGGAGCTTATAACCACTGTGTTGCAGTTAGTTGCATTAGACTGATGAGAAGGTGATTTTAGTTTTCAAAATCATGATTCCAAAGATTTTCGTGACCTTGGCCTTCACCACTGGCAAAGATCTGCTTATTTTAGGGGAGCTATCACCTTTCTGAAGGCCTCAAATCAATAAAGCTGTTTGTTCCAGTATTGTTCACCTGGTCGAAGCACCGGTGGGCTTCAGAAGGAGGTTGTCTGAATTAAGTCCTGTGGGATGCATCCCTTTTGTGTCCTAAAAAATAAGAAAAGAAGAAAAAAAAAAAAAAAGAAAAGCATTTAGTACATCTGATCAGATAACAGGAGAAAAATGGACCTGGAAATGAGGACCAGGATAGAAAAAGGAACAACTGAGAAAACAGTTTTTTTTGTCTAATTCTGTCATCTGCTGTAGTAGGATCTGGAGGGTTTTGTTCCCCTCTCACACATGGTCTATGGAAATGTATGCATTCAGTACTAAAAATATCAGCTGTTAGTAGCAGTTCACCTCAGTGAGAGCAATGCCTAGTTCTGCTTTGGGTCCTAGAATGTCTTTAATGGAATTCTGTTTGTCATGCAAGGCACTGTCAGTCACCGTGCTCTGCTGGTGGTGACCCTGCGGTGCTGCAGCTGCTGTTGTGGTGGTGCAAGTGGGAGGAGGCTGGTAGCAGACCATCCCAAGGGACGACCGAGGAGGTTGTGGGGAACTCCAGCCTGACCTCCCTCATTGCAGCTCAGTTTTGCTGTGTTGACTGTGGATTTGGGGAAGGGCCAAGAGGGGCATCTTCAGTTTGCATGCATAGCACGGATAGTAGCTACAGAGCTAGCTGTGTTGGTGGGAGATGTGTGCTTCGATGAGAAGGGAGCTGTCTCCCAGTACCCTTCCAGTGTCTCCATGAGAGCGGTCAGCCCCATGGAGCCGCACACCAGCCTGTGCAGTGAGGTGCCTCTGGGCAGCCCTGGCACAGTGTGATGTTCCCCATCTGATCCTACCCCAGGTGCTGGCAGATCCTGCTCCAAATGCCTCTCCTCCTCTGACTCCTCTTTCCCACCTGCGCCGTGCAGAGAGCGGTACATCCCAGCTCTGCAAAGCGCACTGAGATCAAGGGGTGAAGGGTACTGTGTAATTGCAAAGTATCATTATTCACCCGAGCTCTTGTAGGATGAAAAGGTGCTCTATGAAACCCAGAGAATGAACTATTATTATATCGGTTTCCAGCTTTCTATCACAGGAATTCCTCCATCTTCCTTTCCAGCAACCTGGGAGGCTGCACGTACTGACAGCCCTTGCGGCACGAGGGGCAGCCAGGGCTGAAGCCGTGGGCTTGTGTCTCAGCCCGGCCGCTTGCCCGTGTGAGCTCTGGGGGTGCCCAACCCACCCGCCATGAGTCTCCCACCGCTCGCCCTGACCACCTCTCCTTGTCTGCCTTGCAGGAACGCTCGCCGACAGGGTACCTTGCATGGAGAAAGGGAGCAGAGCAAACCACGTCACTCCACCGAATGACACCAGCTGGTCCGCTCACCACCCCCTCTGGCTGAAAGTCCAGCAAAGAAAGCAGCTTCCTGTCATGAAGCCCCTCCGAGGAAGCCTCGGTCCCACGGGTGCCTTTGACCCAGAAGACAGCACATCATGGACCCACACAGTGTGCTCAGCATTCCTGCGACCACCCCTCTTCTCCTCCAAGGAACGCTTTTTTTCCTCTTGGTTTCTTGCTGGGGGGGATTTTTCACCCTGGTTTCAAAAACCACACGGACCAACATAGGTACTTTTCCCTCTCTGACTTCAAAGTTCAGATATTTGAGACTGGACAATAATACGGATTTTTTTTTTTTTTTAATTTTTTTTTTTTCCTTCGAAAAACTGCTGTGGTTTTGCTGCTACACTAAGAATCGTGATTTGCATTGTATGGTTTTGGACCTATTCAAGTTTTGATGGGGGAAAGGGGTAATACTGGAGTAGCAACGCTTCAGAGTCATCTCTGTCCTACCCATGATGCACTTTTAAATGAAGAGTTAGAATATTTTATTGGCTAATATACTTTCCTTGTTATTTTTACAAAGGCCACCTTTATCCTTTCTAATGCCATATTTTCAGTGTTACACTTTTATGGCTTTTAATTTTTGATTTGACAGATGTAAGAAGCAGCATGAATAGTTTATACTGTGGTTTTTCAGAGACTGAATGCCAAGAGAACTCAGTAAATGTTTATTCTTCTCAGCTTTCTCTTTAAATTCCCCTAAATAGCGCCCCATTTGGGAACAGAGCAAGAGTGTTGAACTAAAGACCAAAATTCCCTCAAGGTGTAAAATAATCTGAGGGGAATATTTGCTGGGCGTCACGAAAGACTTGGATGAAATTTCAACCCTGATGGTTTTCAGTGATCCAGGAAGGCAGTGAGACAATCTCTCCATATGCATAGCCCTTTCATGATAATTAGAATGGTATGGACAAACCAATGAAAACAAGGGTAAAGTGAGAAAGATCCCCCATGATTCTGTTTCACTGTTTGCTTTCTCCTGTCATGGTTAAGAGAAATGTGCAATTCGATCCTCAATCAGTGGGTGGAGGATAACAGGGTAGAATTTACTTGTGTGCACTTGTACAGTTGTAGCCAAGAGTCCAAAAGTACACTAGAGCATGTTATACTGGCACTGAATTGGTAAGAGAGTCGTGGAGTATCCCATTCTGACAAATACAAAAAAGAAAAAAAAAAAGAAAAAAAAAAAAAAAACAAAAAACCCCCACAAAAACCCCACCAAAAAAATATCAAAAACAAAGAAAAAAAAACTTAAAAAAAAAAATCAGATCACCTTGTGATTCAGTGTAACTGTTTACTAACTCGAATAAAGCAATTGTTCACTCTCGAGTGTTCAGAGTACACCTTTTCTATAAGGCTGCTGCGGGGGAGTGAGGAGCAGTTTGCAGGAGCGGTGTCTCTGACCGTCTCAGTGGTGTTGGGAGCAGGGTAGTAGCAGAGTCAGTTGAACCAGAGCCTTGTAGTGATGGTGCACTATGAGCACTATGTATATACTGTATTTCTATATTTTCCTTTGTACAGATTCACTTAAGTCAAGCTACTGTTTTACAGGTGCTCCTTATTTATTAGAGCTGTGAAAGCTTGGAAAACACACCGGGCGAGTAAGCTCGCTTTTTAAAAAAAAAAACAAAAACCCAACAAAAAAACAAAAAAGAGAGAGAAATCCAACAACTCCTGAGTCTAGGGAGAGAGCTCAAAGAGATAACGATGAAACATCTTCAAGAGAGCAAGAATCTGCAGCACCCTCAGTGTGCTCTGCTTTCCTTTTGGGCTTGCAACGCTTTTCTCTCTCCCTGACTGGTGTCAGATTTATTAAAACAAAATAAATCTCCAAGAAAAAAAAAATGCACTTAAATGTGCTGTTGTTTTATTATTTTTTTTTCCTTTTTGTGCATGCGGTTATTCATTCCTCTACCTGCCTGGTCACAGATCAAACAAAACTGAGTCTGAAGTCTCAGCAGAATAATATGTAAGTGTTCTTGCAGGCTGTATCTACGTCCCTTCCATTTTTGCTCCTCCCTCATCACTTCTCAGTTTCTGCAGTGTTCAAGGCGTGTGTGGGGGGGAAAAAGACCCTCATGGTTAGAACAGTGCAGAGTTAGGTCCTGGTCTTACAGAAGATCCTCGATGGACGCACTGGCTGAAGCTTCATTGATTTCAGGTAGCTTGTTCCTGCTGCCTTTGGGGCTGTGTACCCAGTGTGTTCTGCCTGCATTTTGGAAGGATGTGGTTTTTCTATGCATGAAACCCCCCTCCCGGAAATCAAGCCTAGGTTCTTCAAAGTACAAAACTCCTCCCAAATCCCCCCAAAATTACAAGGGGAACAGATTTGCAGGCAATAGGGTTTACTTCCCCGCTCTTGGCCAGCAGAGCCAGCGCTGCTCATGGAAGGGTTTGAAATGTCCAGTGAGCTCTCTAACTATTTGACTGATTTCATTAACCAGCCATGTAAGGCAAACAACAACAGCATAAGCGTGCCTGCTTGGAAGGGCACGTAGAGCAAAGCTTGTCTCCCTAGTAAACAGCTTGCTGCATCTCTATTTATTCATCTGAACTTGGCTGTAAAATGAGGGCCGTGTGTATTGATTTTGCTTTTGTCAGTGGTCCAGAATTGTTAGCACACATTTTCACTCTTCTGAAAAACAACAGACTCTTTAGAGAAATCTTTCTCTCTCGTGAACTGCTTTTTCCAGAAATGGAATCAGCTTGTCAAAAATCATCAGGACAGCAGAGGTAGGGAAAGCCATCTAGGCTGGAGCTGGCTTCGCGCGTTTCCAGTGATCACAAGCTTACCTTTGCTTTCCTGAAAATTTGCCCACCTTACACTTCCTTAACAACTTACCCCAAAATTCGGAATCTGAACAACTGCTTTGGACAGTTGAATCAGTTCATTGTTTGCTATTTTAAAAATATCTCCAGCTGCATATCTGGGGAGAAATCTCCGAGTACACATAAACCTTCAGCAAAATGTAGACCAAATGGTACGATACATTATGCAAAAGAAACCTGCTTTATTTTTGAGGCCAAATCCATCCCTTGTACGATGCCAACAAAATGAATGGAATTACACAAAGGATGTAAAAGGTCCTTCGCAATTAACAGGAACGCAGCAAAGGCTTGCAGAACGGTGCTCGCTTGCTGCTGACATTATTTATTACGCACTAAGACCTAACAGTCAAGCCAAGCTCTTTCCTGGAGAACTCGCCATCAAGGAGCCAGACAAAGAAAATCCTGATGCGCTGGGAGATACAGGGGAAGGTTCCTGCGTGCAACAGCAATCACTCCAGCCCTTGCACACGTACAGTTTTGAGATGCAGAGACTGTTTTTATGAGCAGATAGAGGCAGCTTTGCCTCAGGTCTCTAAGCAGCTGGTCCTGCATGCATCCCTTCACGCTGCCGGGGCAGAGGGGGAGTTTGCTGTGATCGAGCTACATGGGTCCTTCTGCTGGCACTGAATTCTTGCTGTCAGCGAGAATTTTGCCCTTGCGATAAGAGGGGGCCTGCGTGCTGCAAACACTCTGCATTAATTTCCTCCTGCGTTGTCTTAGATGCTTTTGAGGGCTTTATTTTTTTCAGAAGTACTATGCACATCAGTATTTGAGTGGCCCAATTCCATGAATAAGAAGGTCCCTCAAAATGAAAACATTTCATGCTTTTTCCCTGCTAAATGATGGAAATAAATTTGCTTTGTTCAAATAAGTGCTGCACGCCAAATTTACAAGGATGCTTATCCAAGTGAGATATCCCATTCTAAGGTCCATATTTGGACACCCAAATCAACACTCAGCCAAACACATGCATGAGGCATTTCAGTGCCATTTGGAGTGTCCATATATAGAACTGGATGCCCTAACTTCATTGCCTTTGTTTTAAAAATAGGCCTGGAATATGTAAAGGCATCATTTAATAACAACTATGACAAACATTTCTGTGCTCAAACTAAGAACAAATTTGCCGGTCCTGGTACAGGTTGATTCCCCCGGAATCGCTCTGGATTTACAGAGGTATAACTCAGAAAAGAAACGGTCCCTTGAGTTGTTTTGCCTTCCACTCCCACCCAGAGTTGACTTTGGGATCTGTGAGTGAGGGAAGGTGGTCCTCGGGCAGTATCCACACACGTGCGTGCGGCAGAGGGAGAGAAAGAGAGTGTCAGGAATTGAGTTGAGCCTTCTCCATGTTGAACATAATGGCTCAAGTGTCTTGAAAGGGGTAGAACAGCTTTACATAGGCTGGCACACCATTTACTTGACATTTATGTGGTACTGGGCTAAGAAATGCAATGCTCCTTTAAGCAACCCTAGGATATTTTCCACAAAGCATAGGATGCCCCAGCAAAACACAGAGAGCCGGGAGAAATACAGCTGAACAGCAGCTCCTGGCTGTTTTCTTCCAGTGACGGTGGGAGCACGGTCCCTCGGAGGTGCAATGGATGCTGCAGCACCTCCAAGGTAGAGGGGGTCTCTGACACGGGGGGTGCTCCTCAGCCGGTCACATCAGCCAGTCATGACCTGTTGACACCTGAGCTTCTGTGACACTGTGAGGAATTGGCCCAGCCACGAGGAAAACAAGAGAGTAACCTAGGCTGCTGGCAGTCTCTCTTCTTGAAGGTGTTCCCTGGTGTCTAAAGCATCACCGAGCTACTGGCGCAGGTGAGTGTCCCAACCACTTCACCCGGTGCTCGACTGAAATGGTTTTCCAAGGACATCTGAGACACAGAGAGGCAGCCAGCTGCACCGACCGGGACCTTTCCTCACAAATGATGCAAGCACCTAAAAGTTGTGTGGCCCTACACCAAGCGCCCAGGCACCTGGCTGTCATGGGAGAAGGGGCAGCCTCGCCTGCGCTTCCTACGTGGGACACGTCGGCATCCAGGCAGCCCACGCTGCAGGTGGGACGCTGCCCAAACCGGAGGAAGGAAAGCTTGGTTATTATTAGCTGATAAGAGAGCTGAGGACAGAGATGTGTTGTGATTCCCACCTCTCAGCAGGGGTACTTTTTCTTGAAGGTCTGTACCGCACCTATTTAGCAAAAGAGAAAAAAAAAGGCTTGAGGAAGAAGTAATGCTGCCTTCCTTGCCAGAAAAGCGTTGTGGTTAGGGGGCTTGCCGAGGGGCCCGGAGACTCAGCTTCATTCCCCTTCTCCAGCTGAAGGAATCAAGCCCACATCAGCCTACACAAAACAAGGTGTTGAGAGAGGTTCTCATCCCTTCCCGCGTCCCAGGCCAGGGTCGATGAGATGTGATCTCCCCCAGCCTGCCCCCTGGGACAGGAGCTATGCCAAGAAAGGCAGGAGAGGTGCTCTTCACTCCTCGTGGAAGAGACATGAATGAGACATCCGCAGGGCTGGGAAGAGGGAGCGCAGCCCTTGAGTGAGGGCTGGAGGCTCTCTCCTGGAACGAGGACGTCTGCATCTTCTCCCAAAATGGCTTCAGAGTTGCTGCAGTACATACTGACCCATTACAGAGCCCATCTCTGAAGCAAAGGGAGCTTTCCCTCGACCGGCTCTCTCAGCATCTCACAGCCCCACAGTCCTCCATGCTGCCAGGGCAGGACAGGGTGGGCCGGCGGGTGGCTGAAGAGGTCTTGGGGGGGACTCAGGTGAGGTGGTGTCACCTCAGTCAGCTTTAGATCGGGGGTGGGCATGCCAGGCTGGCAGGATTGCACCAGCAGCCCTGCCCCGTATGTGCTGTGTGATGCCAGCCCCCCCGCCGTACCTGCCCTCTCCTTCTGGAGCACCTCAGGAGACGCGGTTTTCCGCTCTTACCACGGGAGAGGGATTTATTGCCTCTCCCATCGCTAGCGCGGTCTTTGGCATGACATTGCATGAAGCAATAATGTTCGGGGGGGGGGGG